TTACTACCCTCCTTGTGAGAAAGTTCTTCCTAATATCTAATTTATACTTCCCTTGCTGCAACTTGAGCCCATTGCTCCTTTTTCCCTTGCTACCCCTTGAGCCCATTGCCACGTTGGCTCCACCTGCCAGCACTGAGAACAATCCAGCCCCATCCTCTTTGGATCACGAGCTGCCTTTGGCAATTGCTCCTCTGTTGTAGCACCAGCAGAACTCTGTGGCATCTCCTATAAAGCAAATCCATTTTCTCTATTATTTCCCTGATCCTGGTATTAGTTTTTTCTTACTGTTGTTACTAGTTTCATGTTGTTTTAAAAGGTAGGACTGTTGTGGACACCCCTATCAAACCGCAGTAGTGCAGGTCATGTTATAGCAACCAGACTTGCCCTTTCAGCTGCTAGGAACAGACTTAGGAAGTTTCTCCAAGGAGGAAGCTCATTAAAGAGGGATCTGAACATTGCACCAGATGCTTCCCACTTCATCTACCCGACTTACATTCAGAAGCTGAGCTGGTTCTCTGCATTAAGATCAGGGCGAGCAGCCAGAAGTAGCTCCTAATAACATCCAACGCTTGCAAATTGGATGTTTAACTCCTGCTCACTGCATGTTCTGCAGTCAATTTAGCAAGGGTTTGAGGTGGCCGAACTTGCAGTTTGTTCAAGGCAGGACCATGATTTTCACCACTTCCAGGGATTCATTCAAAATTCAAAGTCCAGTCATTAGCACCGTCTCCTCAGTGGCCAAGGTCTGAGATGCAGATAGTACCAAAGTCATTTGAGATGACTCAGTTCCTGTGTCATTTGTACACGCACTTCTTCATCTAAGGACTAGAGGTTTGTCCTGTATCCTGTCCCTGCAAGCGGCAATGGTACCTATACAGGAGTGTCCTTGGAGATGCCCATGCATCCTTCTTAAGTATATTTATAGTAGCCACAAGTTCCAAGATAATGCTGTAATATGAAGATGACCTGGATAATAAAACTGCATAGAGTTGGAGACCCTCATTCTCAAACACCACCCTTAAAAAATCTTTTCTGATCTCATTTTACCGGGGGGGCCACTGCATCTTGCTTCGACAGCTGTAAAGCTGCAGGGAGACAACAGAATTGTGGCTGAGGATGTCTAGTATAGTAACAACATGATAGATACCTGGCAAAGTGCCCTGGACTCCTCTTCTGTGGTAGCTTGATTCTTTCAATTAGGCTGAAACTACCCCTGCTGTTTAAAGGGCAGTTAAGCAATAATTTATATGCTCCCAAAAGCACAGAGTAAATGTCAGATGCATTGCTAGGTGAGATTTTGGGTTGTTTTTTAAAATCAATTGGCAACCTCAGCCCAATAGACATTTGTAAAGATTTTTTTTTCCTCAAGTATCAAACACGGCAGCCCAATCTGAGCAGAGAATGGCTAGTGTCCTTCCCTTAAGGAGAAAGCAATAGGAGGGCACCAGGTCTACTTTCCCTCCAGTAAAGGAAATCACTAGACTGCTCCCTCACTTAGTTACCCCTATTGGCAACTCTCTTACAAGATGATGAATTAGGGATCTCAGGAGCTCCAGGCTGCTGTCAGGTGGTGTTCAGGGCTCGAAAAAGCTGCACAGCCTGGAAGGCTTCAGCTTCTCTCTCCGATGCGATGATTTTTCTCCATAATGATCTGCAGTCAAAGCCAAGAGGTGGCTTTTTGAATAACTGAACATCTTTAAATTCCTTTCTGTTAGGAGCAGGTGTCAGATGAGCCAGTCACTTTAAATAGGAAATGCCTTTCAGAACAATTCGCATTGATATCTACCAGGTGTGCCACGTTACAGAGATTTGAGTTTCATGGGAGGAGTCCTGTCTGATCCTTGTAAAAGAGGCATTTCTCTTCTAAATAAGATGGAGCCTGTCCTCAATATGATAACATGGGATTGCTTTTTGGGTAGAAATAATATCGTTAATGCTCTTCAAGTCATGTAAGGACACTTTTTCCTAAAACAAAAATAGTCAGTCATGGAGCACGGCAAGTCTTTTGACAGCCAGCTATGTTAACTACAGGAACGAACAGATGACAAGGTTAACAGGCTCATGTTTTGAATTTTTTTATCTTTAATGTGTATGTGCTCAGCTGCTTGCCAGCTTTTAACTTACAGGTGTTGAAAGGGAGCCTGAGCAGGGATTAATCTCTGCAGTGTAAAACCTCTTCATTTTAGGGAAACTTCACATGGTGCAAGGAAGATGATTTCTAGTCTCAGGAGATGCACTGTAAACGCTACCTTCTGAATCTAGATTATCCATGTAATGAAACCATCACTAGCTCAACAGCACCTGCCTGCCTCTTACTCTGGAGCCTGAGAAAAGTTAGATATGGAAAAATACTGCACAGGTTTAACAACCTGGACAAGAAGTTGCTAGAATTCACAGCATTTATACAACCCAACAAGGTGAACAGCATTTGCTCCAAACAGAAAGTGCTGGAGCCTTTCCAGTGGCGAGAGACTCTTTGTAGCAATGTAAGACATGTTTTCCCCTCTTCCAGAAATTTACTGCTGAGAGTGATTTGAAAAATGGGAGGATACTCCCCTTCCATTCAGGGAGCTTTTGCTTCAGGAAACAACACAGCAAATAAATTACAGAGCAAACCCCGAGTGCCACACTTGTTAGTGCTCTTAATAAGCAGAGAGGCAAATTCAAGGCAGAGGAACCCGTAATTATAATCAGGCACCTGTCCTCAATTAATTCAAGCCTGAGCTTGCAACGTAGGTTAAGGGAGGTATTAGCACAATGGGATGGTTGCTTCCAAAACCAAGCACTTGCTCCAGCCCATAAAAGTCATCTTGAACTGCAATTTGGTTCTCCTTGCAGGTCTCTTGTTTCTAGTTGTTAGACTGGTCTCTAGCAGCCAGCAGCACCTTAATGAAAGGATGTAGCCAGAGCTGCTGGAAGTAACAACCCTTGTCTGAATACCCCAGTGTCTTGTGCATTTACCTTCCATCCTCTCTGCCTGGCCCAAGTCACTCTCCCAAACAAAAGGGCAGGAGCTCTTTGTGGCTGAGCAGCAGTCTTGACTGCCAAAGGAAAGCAGGTGATTCACTCACAGAAGGAACTTGCAGGAACTTCAGCAGCTGAAGGAATTCCAGGAAAGCTGGCCACCTTCCCGCTTGGAGACAGCAGCCATGCTGGATGGAACACAGCACAAGCTAGGCCCTGGCTCCTCACACCCTATGCTGTGTTCAGCTCCTTTCCTGAATGCTTGGAGGCCAGGTCTTTCCCCAAGCACAAGGCTGAGTGCATGCACTTTGAATAGGAAGCTGTTAATCAGTTGTCTGAAATGCAGTGCAAGGGGAGCAGGAAAAGGTACAGGCATTTAGTCCTCAACAGCACTGCATGAAGAATAACCCAGAGAGCTCTGGGTGCAAAAAGACAGGAATGCAGAAATAGCTCTGCTGGGCTTTGAATCAGCCTTTGCAGTGCCTCTGCTGGCTCCCCTCCCTTTTTTGATCAGCACAGAAGCTGCACGGAGCTGCTTTTTTGACTGCAAGTTTGCCTGGAAGGTTAAAGTTCATTACAAGCCTGAACCACCCTCACCATCCCATTTCTGGAGTCTCCAGGCAATGGCTACCTCGGCACTCACTACATTGCCAAGCTGGCTTGTTCCCCTTACCAACAGGTCTCTTGGGATGGAGGAGATAGCCCCTGAAAGATGTGCCTTGCAGGAGGGGAATGGCTATCTCCTCCCCTGGTCCTTGTGTAGAGGGAGCAGGCAAGAAAGCACCCTGAACCCGAGGGAAGAGAGGAGCCAAGTCACCTGCCTGCAGCTACAGCCCCAGGTTTTCTAGTCATTGGTCCGAGGACCAGGGGATGCTGCAGGAGGAACATTCTTGTTTCCCTGCTGCAGGGTTGCTGCCTTCTAATCCCTGTCTCCTTTCCCCACGGAGAAGTCTGAGGGATTAAGAACGCAGCCGTTACTGTGTTGCCACTGATGATCCTGCTGTGGAAAGAGGTTCCCCAATGCTCCCCTGCTACAGGGGGGTGCTTCATAGTCACCTGGCCCCAGGAACACAATATGCTGGAAGGCTGAATGTCAGGAGGAGAGGCTGGGAGAGAGGGAGCCAGACACCTCTGAAGACCTGTGTTCTCCCTGCTCCTCCACAAACCACCTGTGAGACTGAGCAAGTCTCTCAGTAGCTTGGTTTCCTCATCTGTAAAGCAGGGATATCACCCATCTGCCTGTCACACCTCAGAGTTGTGAGAAACAAATGAATTAAAGACACTCCATGGTTATGGAAGAATTTCTGATAAACCTGTCAGTCAAGACCCCATATAACAAAATCCCCATTTTGGGTGGGTTCTAGGTAAACTCTTCAGAGCTTGATCTTCACTCCTCCCTGATCTCGGGTGATAGGCTCCTCTCCTCTCCCAGGTCCCAGACATTTGCACACTATTAACCCTGTATGTTTTAAAGGGGAAGGTTGAATTTGTATTAAGATATTTCCAGCTGGACTTCAGGATGCGAAAGAGTGCACTTAAACGTCAGTCAGCAAGCAGGATTACTGGAAGGCTGTGAAGTCAAAGCACAACTTTTATTGGCCAAAGTAACAAAGACATTGGTTTCTCCCCATGATTATTAACACCTTCCCCACCCCCCCAAAAAAAACAAACAAAAAACAAAACCAACCAACCCTAAGGTTTAAAAAGGTAAGTATACAAAATGTTTGCAAACAAAATAAAGACGCATTGAAACTGCAACCAATTCTCATTTTGCTTGCTGATAGTCAGGAGGTATTTGTTTCCTTTGGAAACTGTCCTTATCCTAGAGAATTTGCTCTCTTCTTAGCCTCTGCCAACATACAAAACAACCACAAAACATACAATTCAAATACCTTTCCTAGGAAAGGAGGCTTTCGTCCCGTGAAGTGAGAGTTTGCAAGTTTACACACATGATATAAAGGCTTGGACTTAAAAAAAATCTACCATGCAAGCTTGACTAATAAGCTGAACTCCTTCAAATACAAACCCATCACTACATGAACTAGCTACCTTGGATCTTTAATAAAAATAAAAAAATAATATAAAACTTTTGGCCTATTTGGGAACAAGTTACTCAGAACTGACAAGTTACCTGCACTTCACCAGGTAGCTCTTTGCCTAGCTCTACTAGGAAGCCTTGATAGCCAGAAAAACAAGTACACTGAGAGCTCAGGATATGCAGTTCACTTTAAAATTCAACACTTACAGCAACAAAACAAAACACCAGCAAAAGGAGACACTTGGAGAAACTCTGCTCTTGTCCTGGTAACACAAATCCAGTTTAACAAAAAAACCCAAAAACAGCTGAGGTGCCCGGATGGTGTTTGCCAATGTCATCTGGGACACTGGTCTACACCAGCTTCTTATCCAAGCTTTGCAATGAAGGGCTTCTTCATACACTGGTTAATAAGGTCAGCATAACAAACTGTTACGCTAGTCTCTTCTGCTTGACTCAAACGGGATGGATTTTTTTTTTTTTTTTTTTT